ATATATATATATATTTGCCCCACTCACGCAATTACTGGCTGGTCCCGCTAATCTTTTTGACTGGATCCCAGCATGTGGCCAAGCCTTCCTTACCTTGCGCCACCTGCTTACGAAACCACCAATTCTGTGTCATTAGGACCCAAGAGCTCCCACTGAAGGGCACAAAGACGCCAGCGGAGTTTGTCCTATTCGCCCAGCGAAAGCCCAGTATTCCAGAGTATGTGGTCGCGTATGCTAGCCAAGCACCGACGAAAGTGAAACTCAGCTACTTAGTCACTGAGAAAGAAAGCCTTGCAATCGTTTTGGCCTTGAGCAAGTTTTGTTTTTGCTTATACGCACAGAGTTTCGACATTTTGACAGAGCACCGCGCACTTTGTTGTTTGGCGTCCCTAAAAGATCGTTCAGGTCACTTTGGACGTTCGGCTCTTCAACTACAAGAATTCGACATTCACCTCATCTACCACTCAGGCCGAAGACATTCTGATGCGGACGTCTTTTCACAGTCACCAGTGATGTACAGCACGGACCCGCATTCAGACGCTGCGTTTCCCAGCGCCCTTATTTATGTCGCGAACATTTCATCTCAACCACGAAAAGCTCGTGGATTACATTTCTGCTTAACATTGTTTCCAACTTCAGTGAAGAGGACCGTGGGCTTTTCGCTGCCAAGTCACACATTTGTAGATACAGGACACGCAATTATACCGCATCAACTACCACGGGGATGATCGTAAATGGCTCATGATTACGCCAAGCCGCATGCGATCTGATGTATTTGCGTATTTTTATGCTAACCAAAAAAATGCTCACGCCGGTGTGTTTAAAACATATCGCCGGCTCCGCCTACGTTACCACAGACTTGGTATGTACACCTTTACGGAAAAATACTACTGGGTAAACTGGTGTGCGCAAGTGCAGGCAAACCACAACAGAAAAGACGAGACAGGGACAAGCGCGAACTTTCAACTGAATTTACTTCATTGTCATCGTTCACATGTAGAGTCACATATAACAAAGTCAAGTGGTCAAAAGGTCAGAACCAAAAATCTTACAGCAGCTGCGCAAAAAATCACGCTCACTATCAGATAATGATAGTGACGTATCACTAACACAAGTGTTACCTCTTGCAGCGATATAAAAGGCTCTCATCAGTCCACGGGCTGTGGTATCAGCACTTATACACAAAACCGTAATCTCTGAGAAAATCTATGAGCACATACACGCTTTGCAATGCGCAGGCAAATGTGTGATGCCGTTATTTCTAAGTGAAAGCTCATGTTCCCTTGCACGGTCGTTCACGTAACGCCTTGTATGGTCTACGTAACATTTCGCACAAGACACGGTCCTGTTCGGTCCTGTTCCTTATATGAACAACGAAAGACAACGGCAAATTTACCCTGATTACTGCAGCCTCTACCGTGTCTTGCGCAACCTTTCGACCATGTTCGAATCCATTCATATAGTTCTGTACAGTGCAGCTGGTAACCAATGAATCAATATTGCCCTCAACAGTCTCAAAAGGTACGCTGAAGCAGCTCCATTGTCTTTTGCTGGTGCTCGTGACGTAGCCAGTTTTGTCTAGCGACGCTTCGTGCTCGATCAGGGTGCACCACCTAATTACTGAGTGATCGAGGGCGTGTCTTTTTATCTGAAGTTGTACAATACCTAGTTTGGAGACGTCGCATGGCGCACCACATCTCTACCGTCTACCATCCAGACACCAATGGTCTAACTGAGCGCTTCAACCGAATGCTGGGCGACATGCTCGCGATGTATGTCAATTCCTACCAATCACACTGGAATGTCATTCTCGCCTTTCTTTCTTTATATGGCGGCGAACCATGCTCCAACCTTGATACGATTCTGCCGTATCTCGTCCCGTCGTCTTGAAGTTCAACCCTCTTTCTGAAGTTGTGCAACACACTGAATCGTGTCGTCAGTTGGCACGATCATTCGCCTCATTCAAGGAAGCCTTCAATCAAGAGCACCACGACCATGACCGACAAGTCGAGATTTTACAGTAAGCTCTATTTTCTGCCTCCAACTGCCCCTGCACTGCTTAGTTCTGCCATATTTTGCCCCCGAGTATCACGGTCCTTATCGCGTCGTCAAACGTCGATCTCCAGTTGCATTCGTGATCGAGCCGGTCGTGCCACCTACAGACAGGCACCGCCTTGGTCGTGGTAATGATCCCCACGTGAGTCGCATCAAGCCCTATCACGACTCACTCCTACTCTCGTCCCCGTGACTTGCCACAATGGCTCATCTTCGTCACCGGGGTACTGTAGAGAGGAAAAGGATCATGTGCTACAGTGGGTCACGACCTAAGCGAAAGGGGCCACACGCGAGCGGTTAGTGCTACGACTGTGATTATGCAACGGTTTGCGCGCTCACCTTTAACGTGTGCGAACCTTCAGCAGAAGGGCTACCTGTCACAAACAAAGCCCGTTGCACACGTCATCATGTTACAACAAAGATTTATAGACGATAGTCCTTTTTGGAGACCTTCGACAGAAAATTTTTGGTCTGTCTGTACATTTGTCTGTTTGTCCGCCCCTAACAATATCTCAAACGGCACCGAACGGCCAACCCCGTTCACAGTGCCCACCAATATTGCTCAAGGTTTAGCGTTCATAGTTGTGCGATTGTCAATTAAAAAGCAATTATTGCGCATCTTTGAGGCACCATAACAACACTTCGAAGTTTTGTATGTCTGCATTTAAACTAGAAGAGGCGCACAAAAGTAACTCTAAGAAATGTAGCGTTTTAGAGCGCTGCACTGACAGTGCAACGCAATGCTCAAAAAGTTGTTTCCAACGCTTTGCTATGACGTCATGGTGGTGACGTCTGCCCGTCGCTTTGCGTTCTACACTTTATCACCTCCTAGACTGGCGCGCATCTTCTTTCGCAGGCTGCACGCCTTCGTTTTCGAAGATAACTGCCAGATGGCGCTTGTGTCTAACGTGCCTTGATGCGCTCGTTCACCTCCGCTACACGCTCGAGGCACTCTGACGCAGCGCCTCCAGAATACCCTTCACCGATTTGCTCGCGCTGAACATCAAATAAACGTTTTTTAACTCTCTCCAGACGCAAGACTATCGTCATTCGACTACATTTGCGGTTTAACATGCAGATTTGAAACCAATTTTTTATATATACATTGGTTTGAATGGCAGACTGTGCCATTCGGTAACTAGACTATGAGATATGCAATGAATCGATAACCATATTTTGACGTTTGGTAACTAGACAAGAAATTTATTACAGCTTTCACGAAATTCACGCGCCTCTAAAAACTAAGAGAGCATAGAGAGGGCCCACACGCCGGCATATATTTATGTATTTTCAAGTTACTGAATCATGGTAAAATAGCTGAATTTTTATATAACTCTGGGCACTGTGATTAGCGATGATCTGCAAGTGTCCGTCTAGATTCAGGTATGCGGGCTATCATAAATGATAAATTTTTGGCTTTATAATGAGACCGATTTTATTATCACTGTAAAATAGGTTGGTTCCACGAGAGATCAAACATGCATGTCCAGTAGATATTTTGTTTGGCCTAGGTTTATTATATGTTAGATCGGCTCATTAAAAGTGCAATAAACTAAAATTGTAATTTACAAAGAACGCGCCAAGTGCCAAAAAATATTGAAACTGGCAGTCTCGGGATCCAGTTGTTGCTCACCACCAAATTTTTATATTTCATGGTCAAATCTAACCCAAACAGCATACATTGTGTCGAAAATTTCTTCAACAGGCTTCAGTATACGCGTTGCTGTAAATTATAGCAATTTTGTTTTGTAGAGCGCCCCCAAAAGATAAAAAATGTAAGAACGATCTCAAACTTGGTCCAAAAAAAAAACCTTCATAACTTTGAATCACCGCGTCTCCTGCTCAACAGAGACTTAGAAACGCTGTCAAATATAGACAAAGGCATTGCATCATTTCGTTGAAAGATGTTTTACCAAGAAGGAGCGTGAAAAAAGGAAAGAAATGAATGTAAAGAGATTTTTTTTTCAGGCACGCAAAGCTGTGCTAACAGAGGTCGTAGGTGTCGCGGGTACCTTTAGCTTTGGCAGGCAGGAAACAAAAAAATTGGTAATGGACATGAAATTGCGGAACGAAACTGCTTTCAAGAAAAACTGTTTTGTGAACGTCTAATAAATGTGACAGAATACTCAGGCCAAATCACACGCACGGCGTGTAGTGAAGAGCTAGGCCAAGTCGAAACGTTTGTACTTAAGAGCTCCTAACTGATTTTGTGCGCTGCTCTCATGATTGTTTCCAGAAGCGCTCACAGTTTCACGTTCTATCACCCAGTATGTTTAAAGGCTTTGTAATGGGATAGTTAACGCAGGGCTAAAATCATAGACAACGTCAATCTTGTGCGGCCAACAACCTTTGTTGTTCTCGGTGTGAGACTGCATTTCAACAAGTGGGCCAAAGACATCATAAATTAGGCTGCTTTGCCACGTATGGTTTGGTAAGACTTAACCGCACGTTTTCTTGCTGCTGAGATGTGGATAACCTGAAGACGCAATCTGCGATCTCGAAAACATGTGACTTGAAGAAGCGAAATTTTACGGCCAGAAAACGTGCGATTTATTTGGGCACACGTGATCAAAGCACCCCAATTGATAATATCTTATCGTCGCCTTGCTAAACTGCTTTCCCACGTCGAGAAGAGCAGAAGTCATTTGGGCCGCGAAAATGACGCTATCCATAATTTTGACAACGAGTGTGTCCCAAACGTTCATTGTTAAACAATGCCTTGTCTTCTGAAGAAACAATAATTGCTTGAGCATCACGGCAGTGAACATAAAGTGTATGCCAGTGTCGTAAGACTGCTCTTTATTCGAATGAGTCCTTTTTTATTCTCTCAACATACAGAACGAAAAACTGACAAAAAACCGTCTTTCAAGCAGCTCGAAAAGCACGTCAGTGCAGTTGCGGCTGCCGAGCGTGCAGAAATTACTAATAGGAAAATCAGAACCAACCTTTGGATGTAGTAGTCCTCGAGTTTGTCAAAGCGCCTTGGAAATCCCATCTGTCTCATGAAACTTGTAACGTTCGGATTAGATATCCTGCAGAAAATAGTAATTGGCAGCAGATTTATTAAAGGAATACTAAAGGAAACGATTAGGTCGACGCTTATGGTTGAAATAGGGGTCGAGAAACCTCGTAGTGTTGCTTTTGTGCCAAGAAAGGGCCTATCTTGAAATAAAATCACGTTTTAGCGGTCCGCATCGGGTTAGAAAATAGATTCTGTAGAACCAAGCTCGAAGAACAAAGAAATTCGAGACATAAAAGGTTAACTTAACAAAGCAGAGCAGCATAACAGAGAGCTAAATCTGGAGTTTCATGGAATTCGTAAGACTGAGCATGAGAATTCACTGTAGAAGGTCAATAACATAGCTGCGTCAATTGCGATGCCTGCTCTGAGAGCAAATGATGTCACCGCGATACACCATCTTCCTTCTAAGGCGGACAGGACCACAGGCATCATCGTACGTTTCTCGTGACAGTCAGTTCGAGACAGCTGGCTACATAGTCGCAAGAAGCTAGGGGATGCCAATTCTGAAGTGATAATTCAGAAGATAATAACCAAACAAATGCGAAGTCTACTTTGGGAGGCAAAACAATGGGCGCGAGGAAATGACATTCGCTATGTGTGGTGTGCGAACGGCAAAGTTCTAATGAAACGCAAGAATGGTTTTCCTGCCGTTCTTGTAAAGAGGAGGGAGGATTTCGCGAAATTGACTTGAAACATAAAGATCAGTTGAACCGTGTTAATTTTTCCCTCATATCTACATAAATACATTGGAGACTACTATATGACCAGCATGAAATTTTTCCAACTAAACTGCCAGTCCGCGAGAAACAAATATGCATCGCTAGATTCCTTCTTTTCAGAGCTTCATTTCCGATTTGACATCTCAATGATGACTAAAACTGGGTACACGAATTATGAGAACGCATTTTCTACGCCTGGCTACAATGTGTTCTGTGTTAATCGTACGCACAGTCGTGGCGGTGTCTGCTTACTTGTGAAAGTAACCTTTGATTGTAAAACCCTAACAGAATTTTTTTTTGTTCAAAACCTGATTGTGAAATGCTGACTGCTGTCCTGGGCGATGACGTCATCTCAGTTATGGGCCGTCTTCTATCTGGAAGTATTAGGACATTCACCACTCATTTGGAGAACTAATTTTACCATTGCATGCTGAATAACTACGTAACTGTTTGTCGCGGCGACATTAAGGTTGACATGCTGTCTCATGAAACTTCTAAACATGAGATGACGTGTTTGTTTGAAAGCTTTGGATGATCTAACATAATCAATATGTCAACAAGGAATACTACCAGTTCATCTACATTAATCGATGTCTTTCTTACGTACCTTGATTCCGAGACTAATAAAGCTGGGACCATTTTATGCAATATAAGCGATCACTTTCCTTATTTTTTGTTATTAGGCAATAAATAAAGAGGAAACGGCTTTCTATACCAATGCGTTTTACAACAACCAAAAATCTTGAAAATGTTTGTCGGCAACTAGTTCACACGTCCTGAAACGATGTTCTCGCAAATGACAACCAGAACATTGTTGGTAATACATTAATAGAAAAATTCAAAACTTATATGACCACAACTTCACTCAGATTACCCATCGTCCATCTAAAAAAATTAGGAAGCCATGGATAACATGGGACCTGTTGGATCAAACTAATGAAAACTATGAAATGTATATTGCATTTGTGGTTTTTCGAGACTGACAACAACTTAGAGTTTAAAAAAATTCGTAATCATCAAAACAAAAACATCCAGAAAGCTAGACAAAGCTACTTTCACAACATCTTTATGCAATCATCTGGTAATTCTATTTAGAAAAACATCAAAAGTACAAGGAACACTGACCTGAAATAGCGTAGTTACAGAAATTAGAATTAATGGTTGTGTAATTAGTGGTAGTAACCTATCTAATACATTTCACGAAAATGTAGTAAAATTAGCTTTTCGAGAAACATCTCTTGATGCAACATAATACGTTTCGAATAAATGCCCAAGTACTATGTTTCTAAGACCTACTTGTAAAAGCGAGGTAAACAAAACAATCATATGGATTATAACTAGTAAATTTTGTGATTCTTTTCATTTTCAAATCAAATCTATCTATCAGAGTATCTGCGATACTTCGACTTGCTCCGATAATCTCCAATACTTCAACCTGCTAAACCGTGCATATTGTACAAAAAGGGAGATAAAATAATTTAGCAAATATAAACCCAACTCAATTTTGCCAGTAATTTCTTAAAGTATAAAACAATTCTTCACTCTCAGCTGGCAGAGTTTAATAACAAACATAATATATTATGTGACGCACAATACGGGTTTAGGAAAATTCAATCGACAGAGCTAGCTCTAATCTATCAGAAAGAGTTGATTTTGAATAGCATACAATGTCAACAACTAGTACGTGGTATCTTTATCGACTTCAGCAAGGCTTTCGACTCTCTGAATAGACGGTTACTTTCACGTAAGCTAGATTTATACGGTGTACGAGGCGTTGTCTTAGACTTGTTTGAGTCATACCTAAGTGAAAGGAAACAATACGTGTGTATAAACAATGTTTCTTCGACGACTAAACTGAACCGTCTTGGAGTACCTCAAGGCAGTATTTTAGTCCGTTTTTTTGCTTAACTTATACATAAATGACATTGTAAATATAGATCCTTCAACAAAATTTGTTATTTATGTTGTTATACAAGCGTACTTTTTGCACATGACGATACTGACCAGTTCATTGAAAGAGGAAATAATATATCAGAAAAGATATATAAGTGGGCATGTTCCAATGGGCTAATAATGAACACAAAAAAACCAAAGCGGTTATGTTTCGAGCAAAAGGCAAGCAGGTACAAGTAACTTCTCCGCTCTGTCTCAATAACAGTATGATTCAAATGGGGATAATGTTAAAACATTAGGTGGTGTATTTTCAAACAACATGCTATGGGGCGCACAATTAGAACAAGTATAGCGACAAAAATGGCACGTGTGCATGGTATAATTTAGCGCAACAATCATCTACTTTCATTAAAAACAATGTTTATTATTTATCAGTCTTTATGTCATATGCTAACTATTGCTTTGTAGTAAGGGGTAACGCAACACAAAGAAATATTGATAAGCTCCGTAGACTTGAAAATAGATTCCTAAAAGTTATCGCTAAGAAAGAACCTTATTAATCAGTTATGTGCATGCAACAAAATTATAAACTAATCGATTTTCAATAAGTTTACAATGACAACTTTGTTAGAGTGTAAAAAAAAGAGCTGAAGAAAAAAATTGTGCTATCTAATTTAGCCAACCTACAACTTTCAGAAAATAAGTAAGACACCCGTAAGCGTAAGCTCTGGTTAACATCACGGTCATGCACAAAATGTTTTGACCAGACGATGCGCAATGTTATTCCCAGAATGTTGAAATATTTACAGCATTGATGCAAATATGCAAAGTATGACCACAAAAAATATTGCATTATTGTTCAGATAGATATTCATCATTTCGTTTATTCTTTCGTACCAGTTGAATGTCTTATGCATTCTATAAAACATGTATACATAGCCTTTTCATAGGAACTGCTGTGTCTGGTTCCGTTTAGAATATGTAAATATATTGATTGACATTACCGTATTTTTGTATAGTATGTTTTTTATATGTATGCCAATGCTTCCAACCCAGTCATTTCAGTTAGCGGGAGCTATTCAAGCTATTTTAGTGCAACTTTACTCCCGCTATCCTTCGTGTCGACTCCAACATAAAAAGAAAGATTCAATTCACCTCGTTTTAAATTACCCGCGTCAATAAGCGGACTGACCGGACTAATTTACGTCACTGTTCCTGTGCACGACGTTCACCAGATTTACTGCGCTTGTAGCACCAGGCCGAAAGCAGCGGGAGCCGCAGCAGGAACAATCGCCATTGATCAATTATTCGCCTCTGGCTTCAGGATTGTAGACGTGTTTTGTTTGGGCTGCGCCTCGCTAGACAGCACCACCTGTCTTGTGTAACCACGGGAGATTGAATTTTTGACCACTCGCATCATTCCCCATAGTAACGTCCAGCGGTTCTTTTTTACCTTAATCAAACAGAAACGAACAAGCAGCGTTTTATTGCGTTTCTTGATGCACGAAAGGTTCTTTATTTAGTGCAGTTAGATCGATTACTAGTGAATATTTGTAGACGATCTGTCTGATTTCATCGGGATCGATTTGAAAATATTTTACCGTGGCGCTTGTGTTCTTGTGCATGCACCTTCATTTCTTGTTAAGTAGGGCCCTGTAGTTGATAATATTGTCGTTTGAGATGTCATACATTGAGCTTTCACTCTGACGTAAACTTTATGTGTCTTTAGAGTCTCTTTAGATATAGACATGCCTTCACGTTCGTTCTGTGAAAGGTCTTGCAGTTCACTCTGATAACTGCAAGATAGCAAAGGCGAGATGGAAATGAGTGTTGTAAAAGAGAGAAAAAAGCAAAAAGAGTGGTAGACTTCACGCACTGTGGAGATCGATGTACTGCAAAACAGCCAAAAAAAGAACGCAGCAAACTATGCACTGCATGACATATATATCAAAAATTGCGTCTTCTGACCTACTATTTATGTTCGCCGTAAATGCACGTTATTCACTACCAAGTTTAGTACGTGTCAAGCTAGCGAAACAGTCGCAAGCGTCATGAGCGTGGCATGTAAGTCACACAATGCTTCTCATGGCTATAAATTTGCAATCTACCATTTATTTTCGTCATTCAGACATGTCATGCAAGACCAATTTTGGTGTATTCAAATCTAGCAAACCTACCACGAATGCCCCTTTAGCTTTCCATGTAATACATGTCGGACAAGACATGCATGTGATAATTTTTATATTATTACCAGTTATTCATGTTGGTCATGCAATGACGTCACCCAATTCCGAGTTTGGGGCTTGTCGAAGTAGCGAAATGGCCGCAAGCACCGCATAAACACGGCATGTAAATGACAATTTACATGGCATGCTTTTCACGATATGCCTCTTAAGAC